TGATAATTAAGAAGTATTTTAATAATATTAATTATTAATTGAGATATAATCATTTTAGATTTATATTAATTCGTATTAATTATTTTATAAATATATAATAAGTGTTAATTATTTACATTATTATGATAAATAATTATAACTAATACTATTATTATTCTCCAATAAACATATCATTTAGTGAAAGTTAAATTATAAAACTTTCAATTATTCATTATTGTTAAACTAAAAGAATTATAAAAGCAATTATTATTTTAGGAATTAACTAAAAATCATAATATTAACAAATTAATTACTTCATAATAATAGCAATAATAATAATAGTAATAATAATAATAATAATAATAATAATAATAATTTAATATTACTGATTTCAAAATCAATACACACATAATAAGAATATATTACGAGTAAATAATAGTAATAATAATATACTTATTATTATTACTGATTTCATAATTATTAATCTATATTACTCAATAAAGACATGGAATAAAAAAATATTCAAATTACCACTAAATGAATGAACTAAAATCTACGAGTGTTCTAATTGACTTGAATTTGACACATCAACATGCCCTAAATTATAATTTCAACCTACATTTCCTATTTTTATTTCTCAATTCCCACAATTCATATATACCATTAGGTTATGTATAGGTTTCCCTACCTTTTTCCTAAAGATAAATTCTACCCAGCCTATGGGGAGCTTAGACTTAAAATCCATAACCATGATCGATCAAAAGAAACATTGCCACCTTATTTGGAGGTGACCTCCATACTCGATATGGTCCCCTTATTCTCCTTTCTTCCATGTTTCTCTGTTGGATGGGCTTTGGAGTCCTGATTATATTAGTAGTTGATTGTAGCCATACATGATGATGATTTGATTGTAGTCATATATTTTTCATCTCTTACTTTAGAGGATGGATGCACCTGCAAATATTGTTTGGCATGGATTGTTTTTCTTATAACTCTTTGAATAATTTTTTTCCTTCTTTGCCTCTTTGAATGGATATCATTTAAATGCTTTTATCCATTCATATGTCCCTATATATTAAGCAGTATTGGTGATATTGTTGTAAACATCCATCTAACTTTTCTATTTTATATATAGATTAATGATTTCAAAGTTATTGTTACTTTTTTGGGAGTGGGTTGCTCAACAGGATATTGATTTTTTATTGTTAAATAGTAAATTTCAAATTTAATAATACTGTAGTTGCCTTTAGTGTGGGGTCATTCTCTAGATAAAACATGGTAAATCTCTTAAATCAAATAAAGAGCCTACCCTAAATGTCTATTATAAATAATTAAAATTTTGAAGTAATTCAGATTAAATCAAATAATTACTTGCTGAAAATTACTGAATTAAGTAAATAATAATAACAATAAGTTATTTATAGAAATAATTAATAAAAATAGCAATCATCAAGTACTTAATTAAGTAAATAATAAAAAATGAAATAACAATCATCACTTATCATTAATGTTTATTCAAAGCGGGCCCCATAATATTTACCAAATACAGTAATTAAACCTTAAATAAGAATCAATATTTATTAACAACAAGTAAAATTGTTAAGCCAAATCATTAATGCTTATTCGTAAATGCAAAATATGAATTAACAAATCTATTATATAATAATTATACTTGGTTGGAGAAAAATATTTTAAGTAAATATTTAAATAATTACAAATTTAATTAATATTATTACTATATAACAAAAATTTAAATTAAATACTAAAATAAATTAATAATAATAAGAATGGTTAAATTAAAGTAATAAATGGTTCAAGTTGAATTTAATGACCCACATAAATTTATGAATTTAACATATAAGAATCAATTTATGTGAACTTATATAATGTATGAGTGTCTTAAAAATGGCAATTTATAAACAATAATAAAAATTATTAATGTCCATATATATATATATATATATATATATATATATATATATATATATATATATAATTAACTTCCATTCACTAGTTAATAACAATAAAAGTTGGACCTTTGCCTGTGGGAGAGAAAAGCAAAATCGACCTGAGTTTCCGCTTAAAGCCAGTTGAGTTGTGACTTGTAAAGCCAGTAATTCAGTTGGAGTTGGACGTGTGTTCCGCCGGGGAAAGGGGGGAGGGGAGCCACCCGGCTAAAAGCTTCTTCCCCTGAAATTATATTTATTATTTTTTAGTAATCTGTACTGATGTTTCTTTCACCGCTACTGCTATTGCTTACAGTTCATAATTCTTTGCCTTATTTTCTTTATGTTACTTAATAATGCTCCAACTGTCAAAAGTAAGACGGAAATGTTCATCTCCTTTTGCTCCTCATAGACTAAATGCACCACAGCCTGACAAAAATAGAAATTAGTATGGTCATACAAATCATAGTTTTCGAACTGCAGTTATTCGGATCATCGGATCGTTTGGCCCAAGAATCGTTTAGGCAATTGGTTTTGTTTTACCTCAAATCCGATTTCTGGTAAAAAACTGTTAAATCAGTTAATAATTCGTTGATCTAGGTGGTCGAATCATTGACCTGTTGATCCGTTCAACGATTTTTTACCATTTTTATTTTTAATTTTTGTCGTTAAAATAGGTCATCCATTCAAACCGAATGATCAAAGTATTAACCCAAAAATTGATGACTAGAACGATTCCATTTTCGAGTCACTTTTTAAAACCATAACACATAATCCAACCTAGCTGATTTTTGGTAAGAGCAAATTTTAATTTTTAATGGGCCTCTAGCTTTAAAGAGCTAAGCACAGTATCTCCCGGCCCGAAAGCAAAAATCGTGTTCACTCCAGTCGCATGTTAAGAATACTAGTAGGGCCCTCCCAACCTTGGTGCAAATTGAATTTGATTTCAAGCCTTTGCTACAATTGACACTTTGGCATATGATATTAAAACTAAATGAATAAAAATATCTATTCGTAATTTAATGTTGTCTGCACAATAAAAAGTAAAAAATAGAAAGAAAATTTTAAATTAACAAAAACATGAAAATTAGTTTTTGGAAATCGCTAAATTAAAAATTCCCAATAAATACCAAAAACCTATGTAAATTATGATAATTATAGAAATTATTAATAATTATCAATATTAAAATTCCCCAATAATTTTTCAATTTAATAATTACCAAAAGCCAATGTAAAAGAAAATATCAATAAATATTTTTTATTACCAAAATTAAATTTCAAAATCAATAATTTTCTGAAATTACCTAAAAATTGCTAAAAGATTTTTTTGAAATTTTAAAAATAAATAATTATCTTTAAATTACTGAAATTTTCATGTAATAATTGTCATTTTCAGATAATACTAATATATAATTAATTTCATATAATAATAAATTTATAATTAAATATTAAAATTTGATTATTCAATAATTATTGATATGAATAAATCAATTTTCAATTATTTATGTATTTTATGAATAATTAATTACTAAAACATCAAAATAAATTGATGTTTTCATTATATTAATTATCTTATACGTTTAATGTTTGAGAAGTTTCCAACTTTGTTATAGCGTTGAAATGGAAGGTAGGGTGACATGGCTAGAGGCTAAGAGTCGGATGATGTGGCAAAATGAGGGCCTATGTAGCATGAAGGTAAACCTGTATTGAACTCGACTTATTGTGTTTATTTTTCATTATTTGAAAATTAAATTTAAATAGGGTTTAAATTAATAATTTTAATTTATTTAGTAAATTGTTATTGATCCGTAATTTAAGTTATGATATTATGCTATGTTTATTAATGTTTAAAATTTTTAATCTTGTTGTAATTTGTTATTATAAAATATGTATAATATTATTGTCACACATGAAGAATAATATCATCGTTGCCATACATGAAGAACATCTCATACTCTTATATAGTATTATGCACGGGGAGATGTTCCTAATGCATGAGGCATGAGGTATGGGGTAGTGTATTGTGCGTACACGCGGGCAGAATTATTGTGGATAGGAGATCTGGAGTTACAAATTCAAATCAGCCCCCCACAAGATTGCTCCCTACAACATTCCACAGCTCATCTTCGTCGTGTATTGAGAACATCTTCCGATGATAATCCTAGAAATGATAATACACTACAGGAATGTGGTGTGGAACGTTGTGGGGGGCAATCTTGTCTCTGGAGTTGCATGTGTGTGAGAGAGATTTTAAGAATAAGATACAGGGATTATTATTTATATTATTTTCTTATTGGTTTAATGGGCAATTAATAAAACTAAAACTATAAATTAAGAAAAGGATTAGGAGCATAGGGAGAGGTTCTGTGACATGGACCACCTTGCTATGTATAGAATAGATTCCTATATACGGTTGGATGGTTGGATGTCGTGTTTTGTATGGACACGATTTTTTCTGTAATGGGATCCCATCAAAAGATTACGACGTTGCCCCCGCCCCGAGTCGGGTGACTGGGCGGTCTTCATATGCATCATATGGCCAAGATTACATGGATTCTTACCCACCACCGTTGGATCGGGACCTTATTTTTCAAGTTCATTCACATTTCCATATTATGCCCACAGTTGGTCAACGACCGTCTGGTCTGATCTTCGCCTTGCAACTTTAATAGTTGGCCCCCACATACCTGACGATAATCTAAAATCTAGGGGCCAAAGTGCAGAGGATCAATGATGATCTACATAGATATAATGGTGGACCCACATAAATCTCTATAATATCATACATCAATCATGTATGACCAAATAATTCTTGACCTCGCGTGCTCATCATTAACAACTAAATAACCTCCTTATCCTATATGTGTTTTTGAGTATTGACCGGAGTAAACCCTCTGCTTACTCTTGTCTTTCCTTGTTATGTTGAGTAACGAAATGAATGAAGCTTCAAGCAATAAAGCATGGCTGCCATGTGAGTTCTTTTATTTTTACTGACCAAAATGCCCTTTTCTGATCATCTATCCCCACTCAGGTCCTTACTGTTCCCTTTTTCTTTATCGCTCCTCTCTTTCGCAGTGCAACTGTGCAGGTGCCACCTCAGAAAATTACTTCTCTTTAAATTGGATCATGTATAGTAGCAGAAAATATAAAGTCTTGCTTTACAATCTTGCATAGCAGAGATCCTCCTCTCTTTCTCTTTGTATGCGTCTGCGTTTCTGTGGAAGCTTTAAGAGGGAGAGCAGAGTGGAAATATGGGTTCAGGAACCAGCACCTTTGTGATCAGATGGATCAACTTTCTCACCATGGTAAGCTTTTGTTTTCTTTCCCTGTTTTTTTTTTGTTTAGCCTTTCCTCCTGATTTATTTGCTTATTCATCGTCGTCTTAAGGTGAATTTTACATGTTTGAAACTTCTTTGTAACTCCTGCCTTTCTTCTTCCTTCTATTGTTTTTTTTTTTTTTTACCGTCTCTTTAATGGGTTTCATTCCTTGTGATTTCGCTTTCTTAGCCTTTTGTCCCTCTTTTCTTCTCATGTTTGTTCTATCTGTTTGTCGCTTTACATTGTTATGATATTTAGTTTCCATGTTCGGAGATATGTGTTGTTTTCTGTGATATGCAAATTTCTGTTGTTTTATAATTTTATTCTTGCTATTTTGATAAAATGGAGTTTACTTCCTTCCTTTTTGAGTTGAAAATTTTCCCGCTACTTATAATACTTGTTTCACTGTTTAAGCTTTCTTCCCATTCCGAAGAACATATGTCCTCCGCAAAAAGATGTATCACAGTCAGTTTGTTTCTGAGATGGTTGATGTTCTAACCATGTACTTATTGTGCAGCTACTGGCAATAGCTGTTATTTGTTTTGGGGTTTGGATGAGTACTCACCACGATGGCTGTCGAAAGTCGCTCACTCTCCCTGTTCTGGCCCTTGGTGGTTTCATTCTTGTCATGTATGCAGTCCATCTCTGGTTTGCCTTGAAGCTTATTCCCCCTACCCACCACAATATAAATAAACAAGTAAAGACTAAACACGCAAACATTTATCTACACAGGAATTAAATGCCACTTCTCTTTCGTTTACAGATCTTTGATTGGGTTTATGGGCGCATTGAAGAACATCTCCATATTGCTATGGATAGTATCCTTCTTCAATAAGTTATGCGATGTCTTTGTTTTTGTGCATGTGTATGTGTTTTAATTCGTTATTTATCTTTTTCCTCATCTAGACCTGGCCTTGACTGTGCTTTCAGTATCTAGTGTTGTTGTGCTTGATCTTGGTCGGGATTCTGGTCTTCACAGTATTAGCGTAAGTATTGCCATTAGAAAAGCTAAAGAGAGATCTCTTATTTTTATTTACTTGGATATTAGATAGATTTCTTATTTTATTCTGCACCTTACTGGTTTTTCTGTTTTTAAAAGGTTCTTATTTTAAAATGATAATTAGAAGTTCTTTTTATCTCCTGAATGTGCAACATCTTTGCTTACCTTGTCATTGCTTTGCACCATTAAGAACCAATTTAGACTTTAGTTGACAAATAAAAAGATGTTGTTTAAGGTAAATTTTGCAAGTTCAATTTTTATAGCGTAAACGTTTCATAAGACAGTCAACAAAAAAAATTAATATAAAAGCTCAACAGCATGAGATCTACCATGACCATTATATTCCTAAAATTTTTGGCCATCAACCTTTGAGGTTTTGACATAATAGAAATTCATGACAATAGCTCTGTTTTACCTAAACTTGAATAGTCATGTAACTTAATCTACCATCCTAAATCTCCAACCTCCACTCTCATAGCCACAGTCTTCCATTATTTCTCTCTGTGTCAGGACATAACAAAGCCCTGGTTCTGCATGTGCATCCATGTGAAACATCACCATCATCCATGCCTTATCCCAACTATATGGGGTCGGCTACATGAATCCTGTTTCGCTGATCCATGTAAAGCATGATCTTAACTTTTCAGTTTTGACTCTAGCATCGAAAACCTAATGGCAATAGTAACGTGGTTTGAAGTGCTCTCTGGTCCACACATGAATACACATAAAAGTGAATTGATAGCTGTGGGAGAGGTGCAAAATCTGGAGCAATGGGCAGAAGAATGGGGATGTAAAAAGGGGAAGTTGCCTTCAAAGTATCTAGGAATGCCATTGGGAGCCAGAAGCAACTAAAAAGCAGTATGGGAACCAATTATGGATAGGTGCAAGCTTTACACTGCTGAAAAGCATGTCTCATCTCTTACCTTTGTATCTGCTCTCAATGTACCCTGTCTCGGACATATGGCAGCAATTAATGAGAAGAAAATGATAAATTTTCTCTGGATGGGCTGAAAAGAGTATATGAAATACCACCTTGTTTATTGGAGAAAAGTTGTAGGCACAAAAAAGTGGGAGGTTTGAGCCTTAGGGTAAGGAGAATGAAGGAGGTGAATGTATCCCTTTTGTGCCAGTGGTATTGAAGATTCAGGGAGCAGCAAGACTGCTTGTGAAGGAGGGTGATTCAAGCTAAGTTTGGAAATGAATAGAGAAAGTACAAAGTCATTTAATGAAGGGAGTATGGTTTCAGGTGGAAATGGCCAAAAAGTTAAAATTTGGAAGGACCTCTGGTGTGGGAACAGCCCACTAATGGAGACCGTTCCATCTCTTTTTGAGCTAGCTTCAGACAAGGAAGTAAGGGTGGCTGATTGTATGCAAGTAAGCTGGGAACATTGTTCAGACTCTGCAATTCCAGAGAAATTTAAATGATTGGGAGGTTGGAAGTTGGAATGTTGATGGATACACAGGTGGTGTACAACAGAGCCGATAGAAGGGTGTGGACTTGGGAGAAAACAGGCCAGTTCTCTGTTAAACTTTTCTATAACTTCTTGACCAGGTTGGATGACTATGAGTTTCTTACCAGGAAAGTTTGGTGCAAGGATATACCTTCCAAAGTGTAATTCTTTGTTTTGAGTGCAAGTTCAAATAGAATTCTCACTACAGACAACCTATTGAAGAGGGGTGATTATGGTAAATGCAGAATATTCGTTGGGTGAGGAATGTATAGAGTTGATCACTTAGTGCCTCGTCGCAGCTTTACATTCTCTGTCTGGATCAAAGTTATGGGATTATTTGCAGCAAGGAATTGCTGCCCAGCTTCAGTAATGGACTTGTTAAGAAAATGGAGGTTGGAAGGCCTGAGTAAAAGAGGAAGAATTGCTTCGAGCATAGTACCGGCTGCTGCATTTTGGGTAGTTTGGCAGGAGAGAAGTTCTACGCTCTTCCATAACATATGTAGTTCAGTAGACTCTGTGGTTCAGAAGATAGTAGGAAAACTTCATTCTTGGCTTGCAGTTCACAAGTTGTTTAAATGGAAAAGCTGTAATTCCATTTTTGTACATGACAATCTTTTTGTAAAAATTCATGGGATACCTTTTTAGTGCTATACGGACAATGGATACTTTTTGTACATTCTCATTGTACAGCCTCTAGTTGTACAGGGATATTCATTTTGGATTTAATGAAAGTCTATACTTTACCATTTCTAAGAAATAAATAAATGATGTCATCAAAACTCAAAAGATGGTAGAACTTCTTTCTTTTTCAACTAACAAAGAGAATCTACACAATGATGGACAAATTGGATCATCCTTGCAAACTCTTTGGATTCTTAAACTGAAAAAATAAATCATCTTAGCTGTTAATCCCTTAAAACACCATGAGAATCATTCTATTTAACTTGTTTGTACTTTGAGGTGGGGCCCATGAGAATCATTCGATGGAGCTATTGTTTAGATTTGTATGCTCCATTATATTAGTAAAGAGTGAAGAGAGGTGGGGCCCATGATTTCCCAAATAGAGAAAAGGGCTGAAGCCCTGGGAGGGATTTTAGAATTCAAATTTCAACTGAGGAATGGAGAGAAATTTTACAATTCAAATTACAACCAATTCATGATATAACTACAAGAAATACACTGTTGCAAGCCTGCAACATACATGCATGACAAAATCCAGAAAAAAACATGAAATTAGTATTCATCAAAAAAAAAAACATGAAATTAGCACCCCTATTGCCATCCTCTACAAAGGATAGTTTTGACTCAGCAAACCTGCTCATAATCCTCAAATCTGAGTAATGATTGCTTTGCCATAATACTTACCTTCACCACATTATTTCCAACAGATAGAAGTATAGAGGGATGGATGGAGAAAGATTGTGGAATGGAATGCTAACAATCCTAATAATTAAGACTTAGCATTGCAGTTACATGTTGACTTGTTACTTCTACGGGTCTTTTTCCCAAGGGATTTTGGATTTTTGTTCTTACCCCCTGCTCTTCTGCTAATAATAAACTTCATTAGCATATGCTATAAATGGTTTTGGACTCATTGGAATTATCAATCACATGTCTGTGAATTTCATATTATGTGCAATAAAATTTTATTTATAACTATATCATCTTATGTTATCTTATGTGAAGATTTTTTAGATGCTGCCTCTTCATTTAACTGACATTTAGTTTTATAAATCAGACTGCATTGTTCAAAATCTCAAGGTGAACCGATTAGTCGTAAGCAAGTATTAAATGAATTTATGAATGTAAGGGATGGATTTTGACATTTCAATTTTTTTTTTCTGAATTGCAAAACCATCTTAATTCATTAATCTCCATTTATTACTTAATTCTCTCACACTTGGTTTTTCTCTGTAACATGTCAAGTCAATCCTGCTGGTAAATGGTAATAGTAAACCTGATGAGCAGATTTGATTAGGAGCACAGACTTTTTTTTTCTTTCTTTCTTGTCTGATTATATTGATATATTATAAGGTGAAAGATGTACTCAAATACCCTATTCAACAGTGTGTGTCTATAACAACTCTATGTTGATGAATTCATGTATTCTAGTGAACTTTTCATGCATCCACAGTGAACCCCTTGTTGACATCTCAGATTTCATTGAGTCACAATGTGGCTATTGTGAAGGATCACCCTGCAAGTATCAATGTGTCAGAAGCTTAGGACCAGAAGGGATGGTGAATTTCTAAAGTTGCTAAGTTGCACCTTATCTGTCTGTCTACTTTTCATCTATTATATGCCTGTCAAAAGAAATGGATTTGCATTTTCTAAACATTTCTCCTTATCCAACACTAATAACATCCTAGGTTAATAGCTAAACAGATCCATGTTGTTTGCTGCTCAAGTTTAATCAACATGTTGTTTGCATGGACAATGAAGGCTTACTCTCTGAGGTTGCATTCACTTTTTTGTTTTTTGATCCTTCTCATAACAGTGTAATCAACAGATTTTTGAGATGAAAGAGGCTCTCTTGGGGAAGTAATGGAGCAGATGAAACCTGCTTTTGTGGTCCTCAATCCTCCATGGAATAGAAAGGAATTTCTTTTTCCATATTTTAGATTGTTGGCATAACTTTGTTTTTCATTTGATTTTCTTGTGCTTATAGGTTCATTATAACAAATAATGGATCTGGACATTCTGTAGCTGGTCTGAGGTAAGACACGTGCCACTTAATGTGTCCAAAAAGTTACTGTATAGTTCTTTTATAACTAGAATATCTCTCTTGGTGCAGTATATATTCTTAAGTTCCAATTAATTTTGAAATGTAAAAGGAGAAATAATTAATAGGCAAGAAAAAGGGCCTACAAAAAAAGGAAAAGATGAGAAAAGTTAACCCCATCACCTGCCACCTGGTGGAAAAAAAGTAACTTCAAATTCTATCTCATACGAAAAGGTCAAACCATGTATTCAATGGTTTTTAGATATTATTATTCACATTAGACACACTGCTAAGATGTGAGAAAGAAACTTTTAAGTTAACACAAGGGATTCAGTAATTTGATCACCCAATATCTGATTATCTGTCCAGGTACAAGGAGTATCAACTTCGGGATTACAGTTCTTGGTTTCTAAAACAAGTAAGGCATGTTTCTTGTTATTAGCTGTCTCAATAACCAATGCCAAGGTACCAACTCTCATCTAGTTCAATATTGTGGTTTTGATAAGTTGAATAACACAAAGAACTGGGCACACTTGAAGAGCTGTCTTGTGAAATCTGAAGACTGCAATAACCTTCCCAAGAAATATAAGGTTACATTCTCCAACCCATTGGTCCTCTTCTTCCAAGTATTTTTAGAGCTGCATCTGCACTTCAATATCCAAAATGGTATACATACATCCATATGTACATTGTGCGTAATTCCATTTTGACTACTTTGTGCAGACACTTAAACAATATAAAATGGCCAAGCTGACCCCAATTGAGGCTGGTTGTTGTCGACCACCATCTGAGTAGGTGCCTGGCATATTTGAATTGTTAAATGATTGTTGAGTCAACATATTCCATGAATTTATCAATTAATATTATCATATTTATGATAGTCAACCACATATAAGTGGCATTTTCTTGGTTGAATTTCTTGTAATGCTTTTCAGGTGCGGCTACCCTGCCATAAATGCTTCTTACTATGACTTGAGCTTTCATCCAATCAGTTCTAACAATGACTGTAGACTCTACAAAAATTCCCGAACCATTAAGTGCTACAGTTGTGATTCTTGCAAGTAAGTTAAAAAAGAGAAGAAATGCAGTGCTCTGTTTCTCCTTACATTTATGTAAGTTTCACTTATGAGTTTCCCTTCTATTATTTTTAGGGCTGGAGTTGCACAATACATGAAAACTGAATGGAGAGTGGTTGCAATATTTAATGTGATTCTGTTTGTTGTTTTGGTAAGGACTTCCTCTAGCATGAAAATCAATAAAAACCTTTCTTTCTTTTCCTTTTTTTAGTGGAAAGTAGAGCTCATAAAGTAAAATCTACAAGATTCAAGATGACCCAGTCAATAGCATTCAAAACTTTTCTGGAGGAAACTGATCAAGTTCCCTTGCCCAATTGATCTCTATATCATTATGCCATCATTCAAATTGAATTACTTAATGTTGAACTGGTATTTTACTTGTGGAAAACCACTGGCTTATATTGCAAGAGTTGGTATATAGTGTTTATGATTAAAAAAGATGTTGCCTGTTGGGGAGGGGATTCAAAATATCCTGTTGGTCTTTTAAAGTTCAGTGCATATCCTATCATTATGTGCTGTATCTGTTAATTTCCATAATTCATCTCTAACATTCTTTTGCTCCATGGTACCAGTCAATTATCTACTTTGTTGGATGCTGCGCAAGAAGAAATGCTGCCAGGAGTCGTTCATCCAAGGTTTGAAAATGGACTGTGCTTCCGATCTGTCTTATCATTGAAGGGGATTGGCACTAATTTGTAGACATTCTGAGGGTAAAGGGCAAGTGAAATGCATTATGGAATGCCAAACGTGAAAGAAATGGAGAGAGAAGAAGAAACAAGATATCTGGAATATTGGTGTTCCTTATACGATTACACAGTTGTAAACGGAAGCCTTGTGTGCACTCTGAACCATCTGACTCTGAGTTTGGTTGTAGGGTGTATCTAAAGATATTTCATGGGAACACTGATCCACCGGTGGAGCCTTTTTATTTATTTTTGATGCATCACCATTCACCAGTGGAGCTCATAATGTAGGCGGTGCAGCTTCTTCTTGCGGGTTCGGGTTGAGGTTCGCGGTTTGACAAGGTAATCCCACCCTTAAGAATTAAAAGATCAACCCTCGAACCAAGCCCAACACGAAAGTTCACCTCCAAGACTGATCCCACTCAAATTGGATCGGATTATGCTTGAATAACCCACTGGGGATTCTTGGAAAAGGTGGCTCTTTTGAAGCTTCCCTCGCATGACAGGCTATCCCACTTACAGTCCGTTTGCTTCACAAGAATAGGGGTTTGGGATCAGAATTGGAATGGGCATTTTGATTTCAATTGTTTGGTTGAGTGGAATCAGAATCTCATTTCCATTCCTGGTGAAATATGAGAGAATGACCATTCCCTCCCTGGAATGAAATCTCATTCCAGCTAATTCTAATTTTCATTTCAATTTCAATAGACCATTCCAATTCCGGTTACGAGGGATGCGATTCTGAAGTATTGTGATTCCGACTCTAATTATGAATTAAACGGACTCTTAGTTCTTTATTTACCTTTTTAATTAAAAAATATTAATTGTAGCTAATCCTTTATCCTACCCTCATAGGTTCAAAGTATTTATACGATTTTAGGTGAATCGGGTGTATCGTATCAGATTTCAGGGAAACGGATAGGTTCGGTACACTAAATCCCTATAGACGTCATGCTCATGCACATGAAGATTCAGAAAATGTACACTCGAAGTCACATCTGGGCCCTGGGGAAATCTTTTAAACTGAAAATCAGCTTAGATTGATGCCTCTATCCATCAAATAAATAGTGTACCCATAATAAACCATCAAGTTTCTTGGTATTCCCACTGCCAACACCACCACCACCATCATTTGGCTTTTGCAAAAGGGAAAATTCCTGATTAGTATCCTATATTTTATAACTACTGTCACTTTGGTCCCTGAATTTTAAAATGTAAAAATTCAGTACACTTTCAAAACTTGTTGACCGCTTATCGTTAATCAACCGTTAACTGGCATTTGAAAAAAACACAAATGTCTTTCAAGTGCCATCTAATTTTCTTTATCAACCATCCAAACATTGACAAAAAATGAAGTCTCAAATCTTTGATTCTTCTACTCAAGAAAGTCGGGGTTAGGTCTCAATGGACATTCTAGTGATCCCAACTTTTTTGAATAGAAGAGACAAGGATTTGGGACTGTTCATTTTTTGTCAACGTTTGGATGATTGATAAAGAGAGTTAGATGACACTCAAAGGGTATTTTTGTCTTTTCAAATGCCACTTAATGGCTAGTTAACAGGCTGGTTAACGACAGGTATGGATTGGCACGTTTTGAAAGTTCAGATACTGAATTATTGCATTTTAAAGTTTGGGGACCAAAGTGACACTAGGCCCAAAGTATAGAGTATTAATCGAGAATTTTCCCTTTGCAAAATTACAAAAAGAAAAATGTGAAGCGGGAGGGATTTGGGCATTTTGTATAGATGTGGCTATTGGCATTGAAAAATAGAAAAGCTACCGGTTTCACGAGGCACATCTCCTTAATTTTGGCTTGTCCAGATTCCGTGTTAGAGAAACTAGAGTTATCTGTCAACCACCAAAATGGAAGTTGGAAGTTTATCCTATGGAGTATGGACTAGGAGGGTGCCCCTCTGGTTCAGTTGCAGGAGGAAGAAGGGCCATTTGGCAAGTCTTTTTTGAAAGACCTTCTGGAAGTTCTGACAGTCAAAAGATGTGAGATTTTGCATTAAGATCTTGACAGCCTGAACACCGTTTGGTTAAGGCGTGCCTTTTTGCGCATCTTTCCCCACGAAGACAAGTTAAAAATAAAAATGAAAAGCTCAATTTAGAGTTTCCAAAAAATCACCCAAAATGGGTTTCATGCATCTCTTTGGTGCGATGCCTTTTGATGGCTAGATCTTTTCCCAACCAAATGGGAGAAGACGAAAACATGGGCTGTTGGGCTTCTAAAAAGTCAACAGCCCACACGAAAAGACACATCAAACAGTGCCATGTTTCTCCTTACATCAAGAGTGGGGATATTTGGAGGGGCAGTATGGGGAATTTGACAGAACTCTTTTTTCTTTTAAGGGTGGATCAATAGCAAGGGACTCTCTGGAGGTTTTGAAAAGTCATGGTGAGTTAAAGAGAAATGTGTTCCATTTTTTTAAAGCCAGTGGGCAAAATCCATTCAACAGAATCAGTTACAATCTTTCTCTTACAACAGTAGGGAGCAAAAACTCAGGAGGATTAGACCATGTATTTGTCTGAGAAAGATAAACCAAATTTTGCACAAGCATGCACCAAGCCATTACAAGATCTAGGAGCATAGACATCTTGAATGGAATTAAAACAGCACATAACCCTCCTGCAATCAGCTATCACTGACCATAACCGAGTACATGGATTTTATTTTCACAGGGTTCAAAAATTACAGTAAGATGATTGGGCACATGGGGTTGCTTTTAGCCACAATATTAAGATTCCCCTCAGTTAGTCCCTCTATTTCATTCATAATCTGGCATCTTACAGATTAAGTTTGTAACTTCAAGAATTCAAATTCAAAAATTACAATGACTAAAATTAAGCAATGACCACATTAAGTTATGCTGGGTGACCATAACCTTAAGAATCTCCATTGTGCTTGCCAAGGAAGAGAGCTGTACACTGCTCAGCTGTATCCTCTGGGCTGGTGACTGCAAGAAAAATGAGAATATTCAAATCAGAACCAGCTAGTACAGAGGGGAAACAAAAGATAAAATACAGCAGTACAAGGGAATGATAAAATAAGGAGCCTGTAACAATGTGCACATGAATTTTCTAATCTGCAATTTTTAGAGTGACAGTTTAAATTGGTGGATTTTCTTTTTTCCCCTAATTGATTAACTTCTTGTCAGTGTGTCACAAATAATAATTTCCTGCTTATTACTTTATGTTTTTAAATGCATCTGAAAAATTATTTCATTTTGTGCAAAATCTACCATTAAGCTTATTGTCTAAAATTACATAATGATTCTAGTTTGGATTTAAATCTTGTATTTAAGAAAGAATTTAGCTAAGATGGAAAGGGAATGGTAATCAGCCAGTACCCAAAGTCCTACCAATATATTCTGATTTTAAAAAAAGCTATGTTTTCCCTAGAATACAATTTACTTTGACCTAAAAAAGAATAATTAAAACTCAAAACGAAGCATATACTGCACCCAGTATTGATAATGATAGTCAATGGAATGAACAAAGTCATCCAACATGACAAAATATGACAACTGTAGGAGGTAGTTTCACATGTTACAGAGCAAAGATTGGCAACATCTAAATGCTGCTAACTACCAAATCAGTTTTGCTTGTTTTTGCATCTACCAAACCTCATGAACCCAGCAGTTTCAAATAGACCGGTTCTATATGTTAAAGTTTCAAATATAGAATTAGACACAGAAAAATCTTACAATTAACATATAACTTAGCACAATAGAGCCAGGCTACTCTGATTGAGATTGACACAAATGAAAGCATAATATTCATCAAAATATAAGGGTTTGGAGCTAACCTTTGTGACCAATTGTTCGTTCAGATTCGTAAATCTCATAGTCATTTCCTCCCTGAAGAAATAAATTATAGCTCCTTTAATCCAACAAATGATGCTAGAACACATAACTAAGATGAATCCTGATAGATGACAAAAGACAAGAAAAAGTATTTACATGAGAAAGATTACCTTGTAAGTTTTGTCTCCAAAGAAGTGAATTTCATGAAAATCATCAAGGTATCTCAAGCAGTATGTCTTGTCCCAACCATTGGGGAATACCTGTCACAAGTATTTTTTCCAAAAATAAATTTATCTTTATAGATTTCCCTCAGTACAGTTAGTTTCAATTCAGGAATTGTCGGTGCATAAACAGTAATTGACATTCACTCACGTCAAAGCTTATTTGTCCTCCAATGGAAAATGTCAGATTAAGGTGAGCAAACTTCTCTTTAAGCACAGAAACCATTTTTGGTCGTATGTTGTGAACCTGAAAATAAATATATTTGTAGATATTTTTCCAAAACAGAAAAACAAAAAATATTGAGCATCAAACCAAAAAACTTTTAAAAGAAAGTAAAAGTTATACCTTATCATACTTTTCAAACTCATCCCTCTCCTCCTGACTGCAATTTCTCCCAACTGGTGACACATTAAGCATTCCACTTCGGAACTCTATGAATGTTCCTCTAAAAAACAAATAAGAAACCAATCATACTCTGATCTTTAATTAGAAAAAGTAAAGGAATACTTAGGAATGCACCAACCTTTTTATTGGGATATCCAAGTCAGCAATATAGTGGAGTGTAAAATTAATGAATTCCTGTAAAATTTTGCAATCCATGAAAACTCCATAGTTACGAAAGTAGATCATGATATTTTCTAGGGAAACCTAACTGGTGAGCATATTTTCTAGTTAATCATGGAATATCAGCATAACTGGTGAGCATATGGAGGATCAATATCAATCAATGGCACCAGATTAGGAATCTGGCATGTCAAAACTTGATCCAAGTGGAGAAATGGCCCTCTTTCTGTTCTTTGTTTTATGGGGACCTTTGTTTTGAAACCAATAATCATGTGGACTTGGATAGATATTTAGAGTAAACTGACAAATAACTCTTTTGACATGAGACATGTCCTAGTTAGGTTCATCTAATTTTAGATCTGATCCTTGCATGTGTACTATGATGTCATATATCTAAACCATTGTTTGGGGCTCCCATATATACCTAGATTTTTCACAATTATAAATTCTCTTAAAAGCAGCTATTGATTGCAGAAGGGGAGTCTAACCTTGAGTTTTTCTTCTCCAAGAAATGACTTTAAGCTCTGCCACAGAAAAAGAGTCATGATTAGATGAATAGTGCTCAGTTTAAATAAATGATAGCTCTAAATGAAGGAAATTTGATATGGCACTTGATAACTCCAAGGTTTAACTAGAGCGGTATTAACATGAGAGATGGTTATCTCCACATCAACAAAATGTTAATATGCTTATCCTGATCCACAAGAAAAATACTAATAAAAAATGCATCATAAATGGGTTACCAACTTCCATTTTGTTGTTCATAATTATCCAGTTATATTGTGCTGAGCTTTATTAACCTACAATATAGTGCTACCGAATTACTGGTAGTCCAAGAGAATTTTCACAAGAAAGATAGCTGGAAATATAGTTACATTTCAATAGTTCCTCTATATACATGGTTTTGATTTATTTCCCAAGTAATTGATATGCAAGCACATGCTCACAAAGAATTCTGTTCACAAAGTTAGCTTTACCCACAAAAGTGCCTTGACTAGCTCCAAAGTTCCCACTTTGGTAGAACAGTTCAATAATATTTGTAAATCTACCAACCTAAGAAGCCTAAACACGGATAGTATAAACATTGATATGAAGAATATGGACTTCTAAACATGGGAAAGGATTTACAGTATGTTGACAGTGTATATAACTATTTTTAAGCAGAGAACCATTATCATGTCTTCATCCAATGCAAATTCATCAAGATTTACAAAAGTTATTAGCAATACCTGAGTGCCAATAAGCTTTCCACCTTTGTGAGCCACAAGGCCATTTTCAGAAAAAACATAATCATAATCATTGATAACTGCAAGTAGAAGATATTGTCAGACACAGGACTTTAAACATGAATATGGAAAATAAGCATTCACTTGAAGATTTAATCAAGGATTATATTTAAAGAAATGGATCCATAAAGTGGGGTAAACATGAAATCCTTAAGAAAGAAGAATCCTATAGTTTACAACTAATTTTCCATGATACCATTCTCCATTCAACTTGAGTCCTATTTAACACAACATAAACGTTAAAAATTTAGAATTTGCAATAGATGATGCAGAGTTCCAGGATTAGTTCATGCAATCAAGTCAGTTCAATTTATCAGATGGAGTCAAAGGGGATAACTAGGAATGCAAGTAGAGATTCAAACACTAGATATATTTAAATGCATGATTCAGCTTATGGTTCATTGTCCAGAGGAAATAGCAATATAATTGAATAGCATTGTATTAAATTGTAATATTTTCTTTTGGATGCTTCTTTTTTCTAAATATCCATTTTTATATTGTCTCATGTTTATTATTAATGCACGTTTTCATCAGTAACAGTCAAAATTTGATTATTAAAGAAGTTAGGAAATGTGTACATCATAGTTATTACATCCACTAATCGCTAGCTATCTTACATGTTTACTAATTCATGTTTAAAAGAAAATCCCGATTTATTGTCTTCTTACATGATTAAATTTGATCTATAATGATTTCAAAGACATGGTAGAAAACTTAAGCATTCTTGCATTGATCAAAAAAGCTTAAGCATTCTTGCAATGCACCGATGCTTGCTAGGATCCCATGCAATTCTTTCCTTATCAGTCATCTTTCAAAATCCTCGGTGTCACAAAGACTATTTTTCCCATCCCTCGATAAAAGAAAAAGAAATATATACCATTAAGCTTTTTTGTTTTTCTACTTGAGGATATATGAAGCAAATGCAGTCTGAATTTATGGTCTCAAATATAACTAAAAAAACATCTCTCCCATGATTTGGAGTTCTCTCCTTTTCTAGAAACATATTTTCAAGTTTCCGGTTCATAAGCCCGGAAAGGTTTCCAGAACAAGTAAAGAGAACCGACTATGAAATCCTATTAGAATAGAACTCTAAGTCTAAGGTTCACATACTCACAAAGGAAAACAACAAGGCTAGAGGAATTAAAAATATGTAAATAGGCCAACAAAGTTTATTAAGTGAAATGGAGAGAACTGCATTTTCTATGTCCAACATGTTCGCAGATTTACTGCATCCCTTCCATGTGCTTAGGAAATAAAATCAGGACATATTTGCCCTTGTCCTGATACTCGAGCAGTGCTAAAATCAAACAAAACCTATTTCAGTGAAAACAAGAGTGAGATCAACAATGAAGAAAACTGCATCCTTTCTGAACAGGGGATTACATTAATGTTAAATTCCACATGGACATTTAAGTTGCAAGGCATGCCGTCAGAAATACAGAAACCAGAAAAGGCCTAAATTTCAGGAGATCTACAAAGCAAACCTGTTTTCCCTAGCTGTTCTGATATCTTAACAAGATCAGATCCTCCAACAACACCAACCGCAACAACCTGCCATTAGATAAATCTTTTATAGTTTAAATGAAATCTACTCAGGAATGTTCTGCTTTGGAAAATCCAAAATTGACAAGAAAAATAAATGTCTGCATCACATGTTTAAACTTAGAAGTGAAGATAGGTACCAATCAAGTACCTCACGAAGTTTCTGCATGAATTCTAACATCTTTTCAGTTGCTACCTGGCATTTAAGAAAGACAAGATAAGTTAGAGAAAGGAAAAGAAAACAGCCTTCAATACTTTCCCAATATAGGTAAGAAAACACAACTCACAGTTTTCTTGTATAAGAATAAGAGGTGGATCAATCCAAAGTTGACCCAATTATCACTAAAACTTGGTAAAATCTTAAGAAATTTGAATACTGATCTTGTTTAAAGTACTGCAATTATGGTGCATTAGTTAGCTAAGGGTGTTCTCTTCCCCTACTTCCTTAGCTAATCAATGGACAAAATAACTAGATGTTGTCTCATCTACTCGGTAAACTTGGCAAAATTGAACCTCCACAAACCTGGCAACATATATCCAGGTTGAGCATGTTTTGAAACACAATCTTTGTCTAAACATGTAAAATCTGTACCTCTGGAAAATTCCCCAGAAGGGAAATCAGAAAATGCATTTCCATACGAAGAGATCTTAACCTAAAATTAAAAGAAAAAACAACAAAGACAAACCAAAAACCCAAACAACTGACTAAACTACAATTTGTGCAATCCACTTCACAGATCAAACCACAAGAGTGACTACAACAAGGATAAGAAAGAAAAGTTATACCTTTCTTGGAGCTGTGAGCGTCCCATCAACATCAAATAAAGCAATCACACCCGGCTTCCTTCCTGCCATTTCTAATTACCAATACCTGGCACCAAGTCCACAAACATATAAAACTTTTATACCATCGTGAAAACAATCTGGAGACCATTGCTCAAAACTCCAGAAGTTAATACGAACTCAATTCATTATAGACGTTGTCAACTCTGCCGGTTTTGATGGTATCAGAGTTTGGATACTATGGTCAGATAAAATCTGTCGGCTCACGGGCTCAGAACCTCAGGCGAGTTTAAAAATCCAGTTAGCCTCCACGAATGTGCATAGAACTCCTAGATGGGCTAGGAAACTCAGACGAGCCGACTAAAATCAGCTTGGTTCCATGTACAAGGCCGTAGCTTTGATTTCACACAATGACTGGGGAAACAGTGAATCGTTCTTGAACTAAGAAATTAAAAGGGAGAACACGAAAAGTAATGACCGAGTCAAGGTGGGTAGTGCAGAAACAATCCGATCCAACAGGGAGGGAGAACACGAAAAGTAATCGAAGAACGCAGGCATGTGATCGCTCGAATTGTGTCGAGAGCTAAAATCAGTTCCAGATCTACACTAAGAATCAAAGAAATATGAAGAAAAAAAACCGAGGAATGTACCTGTAATAATTCAACAAAGTAAAATTGGCGCGAAATCCCTCCAAAACTAACGGATTCCTCTGAACTGGCAGAGTCAGTGAGTCACAATTGCAGAAGCAGATCTTAAACGCGAGAAACTTGGGGGGATGGTGGACCAAATCAATAGATCTTTGAGTTTTGCTGAGCGCAGATCTAGAGATCATGTGAGTTAGCCCACATTCATTCTTATAGGTGCATTCGTGAAGAACTTTTAATTCAGTGTAAGGTTTCTATTCATTTATACTGTACACGGTTCATCCAACGGTTATAATCGAAGATTGAATCTCGGTTAGCGGTGACAGAGCCCCAGCCAATAGAAACTATGTAGATGTAGATTTCCAAACGGATAGGATTGAATATGGAACGTGGATTCAAAATTCAATTATAAGTAGATGCAGTACACCTCAGAAAAATCTGAAATTACAGTCCATCCTAATACACTAGTAGTTCCCTATAAATCGTATCCTGCCCGTAGATTTAATATCGATTCACGGTCAGATTCATTTCACCTGTACGGTGAGGTTCAGATTTTTGAGGTAGACTGAACTATAAAATCCCTTTTTTGGGTAAAAATCCATTTCACGTGTATATCCGTATAACCGATTTGATGTTTATTTTATTTTTTTGTGGATTTCAAAAAAAATTATTTGTGTGGTGCAAAAGAGTCAAGCTGATTCATTCGATCGAAAGTCGATTCCGGATCTGCCAGTTAAAAGGGCGCTCCTCACACCAACCTCACAATGCCTCCCAATCACACATATCTGGAACATCTCCCATATTTTGTATTTTATACGGGCGTCTCACATTGATCTCACAGCACATCCTACCATATATTGGAAACACCTCTCATACTTGTTACATTATTATTCACGGGATGTTTTCAATGCATGGTGAGGCTGGTGTGAGGCACCCTATGTGAGGAGCAGATCTCAATTCCATGGCAGGATAGGGCTGTGAGGTCGGTTTGAGGTGCTCTCCGTGAGGAGCAAATCTCAATTTTTGAAAGTTGGCTGATGTGAAGGATTTTGAATCTGCTCCTCATATGACCAGACAGCATGTTTCAACCACACATCGGGAACATCTCTTATACTTGTATATTATTATTCATGGGAGATATTTTCAAGGGATGTGATTGTGAGGTTAGAGTGAGCAGTAGATCTCAATTCAGCTTGACAGAATTAAATAAAAAATAAAAAATGTGTTGTAAATAGATAAAAATGTATTTGGTATCATGTCTTTTCGGCATCATAGATTTACAATTCATAGATAACCTTAAGGGGGCATTCATTTTTTGGATTTTGAGAGGGGGGAAGTTAGTCCATGGGATTCACAATCCCATCGACCAAGAAACCCATATTCTTTTTTTCATATTTATGTGGGGACTAGGGAAATTTATTTTCTTGGGTGTCAATTATCTAGGTAGGTGATAACCATCTAAGTTCACATTTGTGCCCCATAAAGCACCCCAGAGGTGCCCCACAACACATTTGAACTGTGTATTGGGAACACCTCTCAATGCATGCTAAGATGTGCATGTGGGGCGCTGATGTGATCTCTACCTATCTCCCACGTAGGCAAATACTTTTCCACTTGGGAGAAATTTGCTAACACTGAGATGGAACAAAAATTCCTCTTTTAATAATAGATTTTTATGACTAAAATGATCATTAATTTATTTAGTTAAGAAATAAAAGAACATGCATAAATAACTTGCCGAAAAAGTAAACGGAGCCTAAATTAAAATTCTTAAAAGGATCCTTTATATGGGTATGGCTCTATGCATTGTTGGATCAAATTGACTCATGCGGCATGCAAAATTGATTTGATCTGAATATAAGGAATCAGATTTTCAAATATGATTTTGATTTTATGATGCCTAAATGATACCTGAATTAGGATTAAACACATTTGCAGTGGAGTCCCTCGCTCATTTAAAGGTCCAAATTCTATAGTATCAACACGTATAGACTGATATAGGGATGCAAATGGATCATATCATGATCGGACCCGATCCAAAATCCGATTCTATTTTGTCAGATTTGAATATATTCCTATTGGATTTTTGGAATTTGGATCGAATTCGAGTCACCAATTGGAAATTGGATCGAATTCGAGTCACCAATGAATTTCCCGTATATATATACCGGAAAGATATGATATCAGAAAAACTTCTGACTAATCAATTGGAATTATAAACGTGGTAGCCAATCAGGTGTTATCTATCAAAATTCATGGATATATATATATATATATGTATATATATATAGCATTTTTCGTAATTTTTTTTTTATAAAAAACACACGTATATATATGATGAAAACAATTAAAAAAATACTTACATTTTTATTTTTCTTTATATAAACTGTTGTATTTTTAAAATTTTTAGAAAATAAATTGGATCAGATCATATTCGGATATCCGACATTATTAACGATTTTGAATTCAAATCTGTGTTTGTGAGATATGACTGGATCAAATATGCAGTTTGTACTATCATATTGTATTGGGATATACTCTGATTTGAATCCAATCCAATCCGTTTTGCATCTCTAAGCTTATACAATCCAATTAGATATGCAAGTTGGGCACATATTTAAAGATTTGACACTGCATTAGGTCCAGGCTTATGGGCCAGCCTCGTTCAAATTATAATAAAATCCCAAATTGGATTTGTGAGCATCAAATCCAGTTTCGTCCTTGAGGCAGCACTCACCCTTGATTAGCAGGGTTTTGGTCCACAAACTAGATGTCAAATTTTGGGCCACATTTAACCCAAACCCAACCTGTGCAACTTGGGTAGGCCCAACCTGAGTCTGGGCCAATGCAGCCTAAATCCAATTCGACTATATATATATATATATATTAGGGTGAATTCATTGATCAACCCGAACAAAGCCCAATCAAAATGCATAAAATTGTAATGTAGGCTGGACTCGAGTTGAGAAGATTGGACTTTAGCTTGAGCTTGACCAGGCCTTAGGCTCAAACGTTAAAATTCCTGAATTGACCATAAAGCTGGCCCAGCCTGTCCCACTTACACCCAAGTCTTTAATTAGTTATAGTAGAGACCCGGGATTGAATCGATGGAATTCACCAGGGTTTATGGGTTTCAAAGGACGGAGTACTCCCATTGTGTAATCTCATAATAATAAATTCATGAACATGAAGATCGAATAGATGTCAAATTCCCAGAGAAAAGTGGATAGTGAAGCCAAAATATGTCAGCCTTTGTAATTTGTACGGATTGTTCATACTTCACAACAAAAACAAACTGATACGTCAGAAGCAGGCCCAGTGAAACCTGACTCTACGATGAATCCAAAGGTCTGTTCTTCGTTCACAACTCCACCCCACAACGTATTACAGCACATCTCGATGATGACGTATTTTTATGGAGAGATGGTTTTAATACATTTCTCGGCCTTATATGTTCTCGATACAAGATCGGATATAACCGTAAAATCGGTGTGAGACGCGCTTTGTGAAGAACAGCTCCCATTTCGAATGGAAATATCCAATACGAAAGCGTTCATTTGAGAATGACGTAAAATTGAAAAGAAGGGTCTGCCATTTGAGAATGATGTAAAAAACAATGTTTTCACATTGTTTTTTTTTATTTTGTATTGAGTGACGCGCAAGAGAAGAAAGAGTAGAGATAGATGACAGTGATAGCTCGGTGGAGTTCTGAAATTAAATCCACATGTGCGCCTTATAGAACGCGCCTCACAAACGTCCCACAGCACAGCCCAACCTAGCGGATTGGATATTGGGGACTCGGGAGATGTTTCCAATGCACGCTGGGATGTATATGTGAGGCGTTTGTGGGGCGCAGATGTAAACTCTCGCCATTTTTGGATATTTTATATTTTTATTTGCAATATCCAATCCATTTACTTTGCGTTGTTTAGTTAAAGTACAAAATTATTTGATTTGCATTGATACAAAACTTTGGTGGTGCAAATAATTAAGGTGTAAATTCTGATTTAATTTTTGTTTCAAAATTTACCTATTGCAGTAAAATGAAGTAAATCAGAAGAGATTTTTTTAGGTGTCATGCCCTTCTATTATGATAGGGGAACTCTTTTGTCTTATTCGTTTTATTCATAATATATGGTATTTTAATCATTTATAGTTTAATTTATTGACAATATTCAATATCTGATTGCAATCGAATTCGATCATTATTTTTACAAAATCTGAAGATTAAATTCGATTTCAAATATAAAGGAATCAAACGCAGATCTGCCCATGTCGAATTAATTGCAGCTTGTTAGTTTTGATGAAATCAGTGTTTTTTTAAGCCAAAACAGCTAGAGGATTGGAATCTACCAAGCTTATTGTTATATGCAAGACTGGTTGGTTGCGTTATTGTCAGCAGTTAGTCTAAGTGAAGCAAAACAGATCTAACCTAGCAAATGTATAGGTGAAAGATTCTACTGTGGCCTGAAGTTTGCTGTTGATGTAGGTTTTCATAGTATGCGTATTGAAGCCGATGTTCTTGGAATTGTTAAGCTTCCATTGGAGGGTATATTCTCTCCTCGGTTTGGTTTATTAGCATCAACATCACCACTGCTGATTGCAGAATCGTCCTCTCTCGCCTAGATTATCTTTGGTCACTCATGTGAGATGTAAAAGAATTATAAATTAAGGTAATTTGATCATAGACTTACGAGTGACCGGTGATCTGTATTTATAATGTTCTGTTACAAGAAAATGAGAGACCTAAAAGTTTGATGGACTCTCAGAGATAAATACAATATTTAAAAAAAATAAATAAAGGAAGAGCAGATAAAGATAACATAATAGAGATAGGATGCAGAACAAGATAAGAGTACATGGGATAAGTGTGAAGAAAGGATAAGTTCCTAATCCCGTAGGAGTCTGAAAGTTTGCTAAGAAGGCATAACTGTCAATACCCCCTGTCAAGTTGATGGGTGGATTGATCACCCGAAGCTTGGAACGAAGGTTGTGAAAACGAGGAGCTCCAAGCACTTCAGTGAAAATATCAGCCACTTGGTCAATGGTAGAGATGAATCGGACATGGAGTGTCATGTTGGCAACATGCTCACGAACAAAGTGAAAATCAATTTCGATATGTTTCGTGCAGGCATGAAACATGGGACTGGCAGCAAGGTACATAGCACCTATGTTGCCACACCATAATGTATGTGGATAG